GCAAACTTATTTTTCATTCAAATTTTTTTGTGATAACTTTAAAGATACAATCAATTCTTTTTCCTAAAATACTTGAAGCTTTTACCATCTCAAAAGTTCTTCCAACATCAGTTATTGGATCAACTAAAAGGAAGAATATAAGAATAATTTAAAATTAATATATTGGATGTAATGGATAACAGAAAGATGGGGGTAGGGATCTTGTGGTTGTAAAAGTGTCAATTTTACCTCTAAATTATTAGGCTATTTTTCAAGCACACATCCTAGCCACCAATTCCTATCATAGATTGTCGGAATAAATCCCTTAATGTTTTCAAGCTCTATATTGAACTATTTTTCTTTCATCTCGAGTTGACACAGGTTTATTCTTGTTTCAGTAAGAGGTGTTCCTGTAAATGTTGAGGCATTTTTGAATCTATTTTCTAAGATTTCTGCTTCATGTGTTGAATAAAAAAAAAAAAAAAAAAATATTTATGCCTGAAATATTTTTTCTTGCATAATCAAACAACTGTCTTGGTGTCATTTGTTCATTATAGGGCCACTGTGGGCTTGCTTTTGCTGCTAATCTCAATCACATGGGCCTTTCCAATGAGATGGTAGCAGAAAGTACCTCTCTGCATTAATATCAAAGGCAGCCACTATAGTTGCACAAATTGATAAATTTTTATAGCGAAGTGCCACCATCAGAGAAATAGAGTAGATTTTTTTTATTTTAAAATTGATTTTTTTTTTTTTTTAAATGTGGACAGCTATCTGTCTATATTTCTGAGATGTACATTATTTTTTATTTGGACTATTGTCCTCATCTTTGTCGCCATATTTGTCACCATATTTATTATGTTTCAGCTGTTGTACGCTCTGGCCTTCTTCAGGTGGTTGGAATGTCAAACTGAACCCTTTATTTCGCTCACTGGTGTAGACTGTTCTAGTTCCACGTGCTATGTTTAATGGATGTCAGTTATCTCCTGTTAATTTCCTTAGCCGGGTCTAACATAGCAAATCTAGAGAGGCTGGCAATCGGATCCCTACAAAGGAACGAAAACATCATACTACTGGCCGACAAAAACAATGCAACTGTAGTGATGGACAAATCAGATTATACAAGAAAGCTGGAAGACCTCGTTAGCAATGGTAGCTACAGCAAAGTAAAAAAGGATCCTACAATGAAAACGGAATGCAAACTGTCACATACTAATCAAGAACAAGGATCACTTCGTACCTAAGTCATATAGAAAGTTATTGCAGCGTTACACCAAGCTACCTCACATATACGGTCTCCCTAAGATTCACAAAGTATTCTGCTCAGGTCGCTTGTTAGAGGATGGCTCACAGAGCCTTGGCAACTGAGTCGCTTCCTTGTAGATATAATTGACCCATTGATCGGAAAGTCTCCTTCATATGTCCAAAACTCCGCCCACTTTGTGGAAATAATCAAAGACGCTCCCATTCTATCCAACCAGATGGTGAGCTTAGATGTGGTGAGTTTGTTCACCAAGGTACCCACAGAGGAGGCACTCAGTAGTCAGAGACAGATTGGCCTCCGATTCTTCCCTAGAAGAATGGACCAGTATTCCAATAGATAATCTGATGGAAATGTTGACTTTCTGTACACAAACAACACACTTCGGAACAGGATCACACATATATTGACAGGATGAGTGCTTAGCAATGGGCTTGTCATTATCAATGGCGTTTATATCCATGGAATACTTTGAAGAAATGGCATTAGAATCTATATCTCTGAAGCCAACTCTATGGTTAAGGTACATAGATGACACCTTCATACTCTGGCCACACCAGGAAGACTCAATAAGACCTTCGTTACAGTTCACAATGGAGAAAGAGAGTAACAGCACACTCCCATTCCTGGATCTCGAACAGAGCATGGGTTCAAGACATCCGTATACCGTAAACCAACATTCACCAGACAGTACCTCAATTTCAACTTCCACCATCCATACAGCATAAAAAGAGGGATCGTCCGCTGCTTACAACACTGAGCAAAAGTCATAAGTGGCAACAGAGATAATAGATAAATTGGTCAGTATAAGTAGTACCCTACAATGTAATAACCACCCTGGGTAGCAGCCCCAAAAAACTGGAATAGGCAAGAGGAGGACAACAACACTCAGAAAACAGACTACCTGCCTTGTGAAGGGGTTAGAGAAAATACAAAGGATCTGCAGTCCATATAACATCAGGACAACCTTCAAAAGCTTGACGACACTTCACAGATATCTCTCCCAAGTAAGACCCCCCTACCCCCATAGAGGAGAAGGACATGACTAAAGACTGTAAGCTATCCCGTGCAGCTGCGGAAAGAAATATAAAGGGGAGACGGGCCATCCCCTTAAGGTAAGGCTTCAAGAACACCAGAAAGCTGTAACATAAGGGAAAGTGGAAAAATCAGGTGTGGCTGACCACATATGGAGAGAGAAGGGATCTCACTGCCCTCTGTGGGATCAGGTTGAGATCATGGACAAAGAACACCATTGGAAAATTTGTAAACTTATGGAATCAGCACATATGCTAGGCCACAAAAATCTCCCAAGCCGACTAAGCATAGAAATGAATACAATATGGGAACCAGTAATATTAAGGATTGCCAGAGAAAAGCAATAACAACAAAAATTGCAATATGAGCTCTGGTAAAAGAAAAACAGAAATTCATACACAAATGTCCTTAAGGTGTTAGTTAGATCCAGGTTTGAAGGCCTCACAAAAAGTTTCAATAAATTCTTCTGTAGATTAATACAGTTTGCAGTGTTGTTGTATCAGTTGATAGCCATTGTTTGTAGATAAAATCATCTAGTAAATGTTTTATTTAGAATCTCCTCTATATATTTCTACAAGTTGAGCAATCACTCAAATATCAATTAGGTTACTTCATTGCATGTAACAGCAGCTATGCATTGGTGATATAATCTGCTAAATGATAGGGTTCATCTTGAGTCATTGTACCAAGTTTAATTGACAGCAGGTGCAAATTTTTCTACCAGTGGTCAATCAAACTTGTTTGATTTTATCAACAAATTCTTTTGCTATGTCTCGTAATCCTTTTTCATTTATTTATTTATTTTTTTAAAAACGGACTTTAAAAGGATTGCAGCATCATTTGTCCAATGAAAGTATTGTTGATACAGGTATACCTCACCCTATATCATTAATTGGTTCCAGAGGTCACAGCTTACAAAAATAACCACACTATGAACTGCAAATAATCACTCTCCATTACATACATATAAATACAATAGTAAGAGTATTTTGAATAAAATAATTTTCCAGCAATATAGCTTTATACTTAGCATTAGCACTTTTCTTTGGGGCCCCCATAGGAAAAACGTCTTCTAAATCACAATTGAAATCTAATTGAAGGAATGCCAACAGCAGAGCACAGATTTTAAGTCTGTTAAAAAAAAAAAAATATTCAATTTTGAATTCAGTCAATGTAAACTTGAGTAAAATGACCTAAAGCAAGTTTTATTTTTTTTTCATCATATTTAACCCTTGATCTATCCACTACCCTCATCCTTTCTTCTATCACTCCTATCTGATCTTGCTCAGAATTTTCTGTAACCCCCTGCGTCCTAGCGGCTTCCCACCTTGCTTGGGGTGAAATGCTTTTTTAAAAAAAAAAAAAAAAAAAAAAAAAAAGACATCTCCGAAAACGACTTAAGTCGTTTTGAATTAAGCCAAGGTATCACTTTATATCCATTTTGATTCAACAAGTAAGAGATTATTAATGTTCTCAGAACAAAATATTTTTCTCTGAAACTTGGGAACAAACTGGTCATCCTGTAAATGATCACGTGTACAGTGGTATCTCGATTGGTTCCATTATGTTGAAGAGAGATGATATTTTTGCTCAGCTCTTACCATTTTCACAAGCCAATTTGGTTTTCATTCTGCTAAGGTTTGGAGGGTGACATCGTCAAATGCGGTTTGGCTTTTAAATTGGTCTCTTTCTCTTGAACTCTATCCATTCATTTAGTCTTCATCAGTTTGTCTTCAACAAATGGCTGCCAGGGTTCATACCATCTACATGTTCTTTTTGGAAGATTAGAAGGTTCATAAAAAAAAAAAAAAAAAGAAAAAAAAAAAAAAAGAAGCCATTTCCGACAGGGTTTTCTAGTTTTAAACTTCTGCTGTTTGCTCTAACTCCACACTGGAGATGAACAATTGAAATGTCAAGTGGTAAAGCCCTCCACACTTTACTACATAGTTTATTACTCATGTTAATTCGTTTGAATTTTTGTGTGTTCACTCAAAGTAGGGATGTTAGAAAAATAACTGTTCCACAAAGCAGTTCTTGGAAGTAGCTGTCCAAGTAGAATCTTCCTCCCTACTAATGGAATACAAAGGGAAGGAGGAGGATTCACCCTTGTATATGTGGCATGGTGGGTTCCAGCTGTAAAAGGAATGTAGCCTGTCAGAAGTTGCTGACATTTTGTTTGTAGGGTAGAAAATTACCCACAGAGTCATGTAGACTTTTTGAACTATCAAGACAGAGAGTAAGGACTGGGTTGCTCCAAACCAGGTATGACAGCCATTTCAGGATGCTTCCCATCAAGGAATAAATGTCATTACATTCCCTGTAATCTATCTTCAGAGAATAGATGTCATGTCAAAAGAAAAACTCTTGTTTTGGTCTGAAACTAAAGTTTAAAAAATTCCAAGAACTCTTTGAGAAATTGTTAGAAAGAAAGAGGAAGACATTTTTATAAAGCATGAAAAGAAAACAAAAGTTTTTTTTTTTTTTTTAGCACAATTATTTATTTTATATCATAAAAGGTCGATTTCTCATTAAAAAAAAAGAAAAAAAAAAGAAAAAGAAAGTCCATTACAATCGGAGAAATGTGAAAAATGGTTTGTGGAGACTTACATGATCACAGAAATGAGTGAAAGGGCGGGGGGGAATATTAGGTTATTGTTTGTGTATTGTTTTGTTCCCCCTGACCTGAGGGAGAAGAGAAAAAAAAAAAAAAAAAAAAAAAGTTACATCACCACCAGCGCTTAGGGGAAATGAACAAAGACATTAAAGAATGCACACAGGGAAGTGGAGGAGGAAGGCAGCATCCAAGGAGGAGGAAAGAAAAAAAAAGGGGAGGGAAGAGCTCCCCGCCACAAAAGACTTCTCTCTCTCCACCCAATGTCCAGGAGTGAGTGGATTTCCAGTCTATATTTTATTAGAAGGCTGTAGCTCGTCATCCCTGCATCCAAATTACCATGGAGCTAGGGAATATTTCATTGAAGGGGGGGGGGGAGGGCTTTATAATAATAATAATAATAATTATACCCTTGCGTTTAGAAGCAGACAAATGAGTTGACTGCAGTAGCCATTAAACTTTTCATTCTTGCTTTTTAGGTTTCAGTTCAAACAAGAACTTTGAGCATTTATTCTGGCATTGTAGTCAGGACACCGACAGCAAGAGAATGAAACGAGCCTTTTCATTTTAAATTTATTTATTAAGCGCTTATAGGGAAGAGGTGGCTTTTCTTAGCCAAGGCAAGAAGCTGGTTAAAATCTGGCTTTAGTGTTTGGGGGGGGTGGGGAGGGGATTGATTTGTCATTGTTAAGAGGGAGGGCAGCAGGAGAAGAATGAGTTTAAGATGACATGAAAAAATATTTGCCAACAGAATTATCTGATTTTATTTATAAATATAAAATAAATTTTTTTTATTTTTTCATCTTTTTTTTTTCATTTTTTTTAAATATACTAAATAGAATTTAGAATTCTGCTGGTTGAAGATCCAAATTTAAGAGAAAAAAAAAAAAAAAAAAAAATCTCACCTGAACGAATCTTATTTGTGGGTGGTTGGCAAATTGAGCTGGAGATTTAAGCCAGGACAGAAATCTTTCCTAGAAAGAAAGTGAGGAGGAACGAGTAAAGGGGGGGTAGGAAAGGAACAAACCTTTGAACTATTGCTGCTGTAAGGGGTGGGGGGAAGGGGGTCTATTCTACTTTGGCTAACAGTAATACTACTGCAAATACAAGAAACATTTTAACATTACGAGCAGAATTACAGCATCAGGGACAAAAAAAAAAAAAAAAAAAAAAAAAAAAAAAAAAAAATTTAAATCAGCTCAGGCTGATCTTTAGCCTACAGCAAAACTTAAATTGTTCTTGTCATCGGACAAAAGGAAATGCCAGAAAATTGCACATTTTTTAATTACAAAAAGGGGAACAGAAGAGAGAGAGAGAGAAAAAAAAAAAAAAAAAAAATAGAAATTTGTTTAAAATCTTTAATCTAGAATCAACGTTTTTTTCTATAGGTTTCAGGGTTGGGGGAATAATTGGTAAAAACTAGAGCCAGGCAAATCTAACAACACAATGTCTACAAATAAAGAGGGGGGAACAACTCACTTTATATACAAAAGATGCCATTATGAAAACCAAATTATTTCATTCGTGTTAAGGTTTTTTGTCGACAAAGGAAGCGAGGAGAAGGAAAGGAAATGTTTTTTTTTTTTTTTTCTAAATTTATAAATCAAGATTTATCTTCATTTCCACACTGGCAAAAGTGCCATTTCAAAAGACACTGCCTATCAAAACTCCAGCAGTTAGCACCAACAAAACATGGGTGGAAGTGGATGCAGCTAAATTAATGGTCACTTTACAAGACTTTTTTTTTTTTAGTACAGTTTGGGGGGGGTACTTTTTGCTGTGCTACTACTGAGAGTATTTTCCTTAAATTTTTTTTATCCCCAATTTAAAAACAAAATGGGTGGGCACATGGGGGAGGGAACTGACTATTGTCAAACATTGCAATTTTTTTTTTTTTTTTTTTCCTCTTTTCAGACTTAAATGTACACAAATTAATTTTTGTTAATAGAAAAGGCGGGGGGCTGAACAGATTAAAAAAAAAAAAAAAAAAAAAAAAAATATCGAAAGGTATGAACATTGAAAAAGCAAGGTGAGTGTGTTGTGTAAAAGTCAAAGGTAAAGAGATGGGTTAGATTTGGGAAGGTGGACCAGTTGGATAAGGTGGGAGGGACGGGGGGGGGCCCCACACAGAGACGACTGTTCCATGGCTGTGAGGCAGGCAGGCAGGCAAACATGCAGTCAGTGTTAGTCGGCCTAGTAACCGGCATTTGCCCGAGTCTTAAGCAGTTGGCGATGGCAGCAGTAAAGATACCGCTGCTGCTGCTTGATGAAATAAGATAAAGGATGACAAGTCGAGCGGCCAGCCGAGGAAGAGTTGCAGGGAGTGGGGAAGGGAAAGTTTCGTGGGGGCGGGGAGTGTTAACCCTCAACGGCCTGGGCCACTCGCTCACTGGCTGCCAGATCCAGGATCTTCAGGTCTTGGACTTTTTCCTCGGTTTCATTGACTATTGAATTAATCTGTATAGAAAGAAAGAAAGAAATCAAAAACATTCAAAAAGAAAGAAATTTGTTTGGAAAGTTTCAGGCTATTCATAATAATTATAAAATTGAGAAGAGTCGACGCAGCCAAATCTCCAAAATTTGGATCTACATCGACTTTTCATGGTAATGTGGTAACTGGATAATTTTTTTCCCTACCCCCCCACTATTTTAGCTGCAAGGTAAAGTCATTAAAAAAAAAAAAAAAAAAGTCCCTGCAAAATTTATTATCTGAAACAAAAGAAAATTGTTTCATAAAAAAGAGTTGACAGCCGATATAGCAAAGAGATTTTGCTTTGGATTTGCAAGACCGATTACTGGTCATGGAAAATGCTTACAAGAAAGTTTTGCAGATTTATACTTTTACATTAACATAATGGCATCATTAAAATGGTTTTAGAATTTGTGGAACTCATCTTAAATTTATTATTCAATCATATCCATTGTTTTAATGTTTCCTTTGTCTCAACTTCTGAGATTTCATGATGAAAACAAAATGGGGAGTAAAATAATAGTTTCCAATTGCCAATCAAAATTGGCAGAAACATTTACTTAGAAACCAAAAAAAAAAAAAAAAAAAGATTTAGTTTTGCAGATAAAAAAAATTAATTTTCTTCACTGCCAATTTTAGTACAGAACTGTCAGACACTAAGATTTAATTTTACAAGAAATTTGAAATTTTTAGGAATATATCGAGATAGTGAAAAGTCTCTGCTTCAAAAAAGAACTTTTTAGGTCTGGCTAGATTTAGGCCTAGAACATCTACTTGGATGTATTGTATGTGCCATAAGGGGGGGGGGATTTTCAATTTGATAGGCTGCTGTTGGGGTGACAAGAGATTAAAAAGATGCAACCAATATTTCTTGCCAACATTTTCTTGTATAATAATTGGACATATTTAACAATGAAAACAGAGATTTTGTTTTACATTGGAATAAAGGAAATTCAGATGTCATTTAACAAATGAAAGTTCCATCAAGAGCAAAAAAAAAAAAATTGTCATCGACTGAAAAAAATTATTCTTGCCAGAAGACATTTTATTGAAAAGGTTTTCTGGATATTTAAAACGGCAAATGAAAATACAAAAAATGCACAAAATTCAAACAAGTAGAAAAAACCTCACTTATCAAAAAGGAAACGAACAGGAAATCTTTAAGACAAAAAGAGAAAAAACAAAAAACTGTACAAACACTCAAAGATAATTTTCCCTCCTCCAGACAAAATTTAGCAAATGCTTGGGCCAAACAAACTGCTTTTATTTCAAATTCAGCCATTTTCTAGTTTTATTTACAGAGTCACTTTATGATGAGTGTACAGTTTGAACAATTAAATTTAAAATTGTTTAAAGCATGCAAATTACTAAATTTAAACTTTCAAGTCCGTTACATTGGAACCTGGAGAAATAAAATCAGTTGAATTGATAAAGAAAAAACCCTGAAATGAAACCGAATTTTAAGAAGAGAGAGAGCAAGAAAAATAAAGTTTAGATTTTTGTCTAAACTTAATTTTTTATTTATTTATATTTTTCATTAGAATAATTTCACGACGGACAAATGGATATTTACATTTTTATACAAATTTACTTGGTGGGGGGGAGGGGGTATTTATCGAACACCAGAAATAGCAGAAAGGTTTTTAGTCAAGAAATTCAACTTGAAAAGCACGGAGAGGGGGGGTGAATAAAGAAAGCAATTAGGATTTTTATTTGAAAGTCCAAATGTTCATTTTCTTTTACAGTAACTTTAAAATCACTGTGTTTGGTTCAAATTATCTGCCCTTGTTAAGAAAATCATTTTAGGCAAAACATAACTATTTGGAATTCCTTCTGACTAAATTCTGGCTGGACAATATATCACCTCTTGTTTATTTCTCTTTTTTTTGTGTCAGGAGGTGGGGGAAATATAACACTGAAGTGGAATCGGCACTCTTTGCTCTCTGTCCCTTGACTGCCTTCAAAAGTTAAGAAAAGGAAAAATGTAACAAGCAAATTTGAATGCATTTTAGTAAAAAAATACGGAAAATTAGTAAACAAGACTAAAAAGTTTGTCTATATCCTCGAGATGAGGTATTATGATTTACATCATTTGGACTGTTGTATTCACAACATTTCAGTCTTCAGGTGATTGGAATTTCAAACTAAACCCTTTATTTTATCCACCAGGGTAGATTTCCTCTGGCCCATGCTTTCTCAAGTGGATAAAGATGTTAGTTGATTAGACCCAAAGAGTTGGGTGTTCAATACCAGGCCACAGTAGTGGTGAACCAAACTTGGAGAGTTAAGTTAAAGGGAAATAACAGAGACATCCAGAAGAGGCATGGCATGTGGAACTAGAACAATCTACTCCAGTAGACGAAATAAAGGGTTTGGTTTTGAAATTCCAATCACCAGAAGGTCGGAGCATACAATGGCCAAAATGTTGTGAATATGGCAATGAAGAGTAGGATAACAGTCCAAATAAATGTCAATAAATCTAAAAAGTCTCGAAGATTTCTCTTTTTAACATATGTTGGGGCCAAGTCCATCATTTAAGCATTTAAACCAGTCACCCCCCCCCATTCGGTTTAGGAAGACATTTAAGCCAATCACAATTAGCATTCAAATTATTGACTTTTCCTCATTGTCCACCAACAGACTG